CCAAGATGAAACCCTCTGAATATAACATTCAGCTAGCTCCAGAGAGATGCCTCTTTGACATTTCCTGCATAGCTTTGTGGCGGACAGCCCCACTGTCTTCATCCTTGCAGGGGATGAAAATTTGTAAATAAATTACTTGTATAAAGGACAAATTCATTGAAGGTGGTACTTAAATTTTTCCTTGTCATAGTTAAATCATACTCAGAATAAATCACAGAAACAATTTTTGTGATTCTCAAAGGGAATTTATATCATTAAGCTGTAACACTGGGAAGAAATTCCCTGTGTTTCTATAAGAAGCAGAAACCAGTAGGGAGCCTGCAAGTCTTTGTATATTGCTGAGATCCTTAAAATACACCCATCATTTTGCCATCTCCTCATCTTTCAGCTGACTTTTCAAATAAACCTATCTTAGATTTCCCAAATAACTTGCTTTTAGATCTCCTTTGTTAAGGCATGTGTTAAATCTGAACAAGATTGTGTGGTGCAAGTATAATAATGTGAATTTTGTCATGGACTGGTAATGAACAAAAGCATTAGTTCCAAGATAGAAAGAAAAAAAATAAAAACAGCATAAAATGTTAAAGAATCCACACATTAAATATGTAGTCTCCTCAGTTGATACGGCTCTAGTAAGATGAAAGAAATGAGCTTTCAAGTGGAACTGTTTGGGTTTATATGGATCACAGAAAGGAAGAGCTGTAACTTCTAAGTAAGTCAGAAAACAAAATTCAGCGTGGAAATGGAGTGAATAAATAACACAGAAAATTAAGACAGGGAGCTCAGGTGAGATAGCTCAGCAGACTAAGCACCTGCTTAAGAAAGTGCCGAGACCCAGGCTGGATCCCCAGCACCTATGCTGTGCTGGCCTCAGCCCAGACATGCTGAGCCAGCCACCAACTCTGGGCATGGTGGCACACCTTTGTAATTCCAATGCTGAGGGGCTGAAAACAGGAGGATCACTAGGAGTCCGAGATGTGTAGTAAGACCCTGCACTAAATATATTAAAAAAGAAAAAAGACAGGTGTAGTTTCAAGGAGCCAACCTATCATAGACAAATTCAGACTAAGGCTAAAGTTTTCTTATATAATACAGTTGTTCATGAAATATTGAGTTTGTATAAAACATTGAAATTAGTAATTACTGGGAATTTGCTAACCCTAGACAGAACCTGGACATGTGTAGTTGAAAAATAATCTCATGTTTTCACTCTATTTCTGGACAGTGCATCTGGCGTGCTGTTATGGCTGTATCTAGAGGTTTCCCAAGGACTCCTGGGGTCATAGGTGGGACTTTGAAGAGGTGATGGGAGCTAGGTTAGATGATGTTGGGATCAAGGATGTGATACTGGCTTTGACTTATGGAGCAAGGCTAGGTTAAGAGTGTGAGTGCTGCCTGTCCTGAGGGTGGGAGCCTGCATAAAATATAGAAGACAGTAAATGGGCTGCTGGGGTCACTTGCACCTTGCTGCTTTTACAGCCTCCTGCTTGCCACAGACTGTTTCTCATCTGTGATACCCCTGTGCCTTGGAGCCAGTAGATTATGGGTTGTGCTGTGATTATGGGTTGACTGTGGGTCAAAATAAAAATTTTTCCCTTTAACTTTAGATATCACATATTTTGTTTCAGGAATGAGAAAACTAAGACACACCCTTTAAACAGTATGCTGACATCCTGTTGTACAGTATCTTGGAAGTCTCAGCAATCCTCAGAATTTTGCTTATAAGCACTTAATGATTGCATTCTGTTCACATCACATAAATTTATGCTAATTTAATTGCTATCAGTAATCCATAAATAAAAAAAATACCAAAAGAACAAAATGAAACTCATAGGACACTACATGTTCATGAATCATCCTTCCATTGTTAGTGCTTCTATAAGTTAGTTAAACAAGTTGTTTTTTCTGTTTTTTGGGTTTTTTTTTTTTTTTTTTGGCTGGTTCAGTATGCCTTCAGGGCAGGGCGAATAAGGCTTGTGGATCTAGGGATCGAACCACAGCATCCTGATTGCTTTGTTTAAGCAATCACTTAAACAACTGAGCTAATGGGCAGGCCCCCAAATGAGTTAAAAAATATGATAAGGAATTTCCCAACCCTTACTTCTTGGGGAGGGCTGTGTTTTCCCCATCATTTAGTTGCAAATTAAGCAGAATATTTTATTAGTTCATTTGCCAAGGATGTGCTTGTGCTTATCTACAAGGACATGCTTAGTGGAGGAAACTGATCATGCATCAGCTTGTACAGTATGTGCCAGTTACTGTAATCCCTAGGTTCTCTCTAAAATATTGATTTACATATGCATGTATTCAATAATCTCTGAATAAGATTAATTAGCTTTCTATTTTACTTTGTACAGAGGAAAAAATATCAATAAGTTTAAAAAGAATTTATAAGATCTGTCTCATATACATGCTCACCTTGGATTTAAAAACCATATTACCTTTACCCAATCTCTCCCATTTTGTACCCTACCAACTTTGCTCATTACACACCAAATAAGGTTTTTTTTTTTTTTTTTTTTTTTTTTTTTTGGTGGACCTTGGTTGAACTCAGGCCCTTGCGCTTGCCAGGGAAGCGCTTAATCCACTGAGCCATCTCCCTAACCCATTCCATATTTTTTAACCAAATGAAACTTGGTCACCTCACTGTTCTCTCAGAACTCAATTTCTAACTCCTCTTGGTATTCTAATTTCATTACCAAGAAACAGCAATATAGACTCCCCTTTCCCACAACTGGTCTTCTCTCTCTCTTTTTTAATCTGAGATACAGATTTGTCACAGTAACTTCATGCCCCTAAGCATTGTCTTATAAATATCTGCTCATTTCCCTAACCATATATACAGATTCCAAAAAAATTAGTTCTTTCTTTTCTTACAGCCAGTGTTCTTTTCCAGTATTTAGTTTCTTACTTTAATTTTTAAGAGCGATGTCTGCCACAGGGCTGCATTCATTTCATAAGCCTCTGCATTCAATGCTGGGACATGGGTCAGGAAGGGACACAGAAGCTTCTCCATCCATGCAGACCTGAGGGCTCCAACACTGTGGTCTCTTTACATCAGAACCAAGAGCTCTGGAGCTTGGCTATCACCCATGTCAAGGGGAGAGAGATCTGAAAGTCAGCTTGTGAGGAAAGGTGCCCATCAAAGGGATCTGTGATGGGTGAGGAGTCGGGAGAAGCAAATTCCTTGTACTGGTCACTATCTCGAGTGATACTTTATTGTTTTTCTTGTGCATGCTATCTCAGTCAGTGAAGAAAGGAACTGTTGGGTTTTGGGAAGATAGAAATTGCAGAGAGCACATTGGCCAAGCAATGACTGTGACTCATCCACATGGCTGACACTGACAAAGGATGTACAATCTGAGGTACAGGATCTCAGGATAAATCCTGAGGGCATTTCACTGACTTTATCAGACCCAAAAGCTACAACTCTTGTTGCATAGGTCCTGCTTTACCTTGGTCTTAACCATTCAGCATAAAAGTATAAAAACAAAATATAAGAAGCAAAGCCATGGTGTTATGTTGAGCTGTAGGGGACTCAGGTCAACAATTTCTGACATTGCCAGTCAAGCGGAAGACCCAGTACTATTATGGGTTACTGGACTCTTAGAATATTTTGCTGAGTTTACACACCTATAATATTCAAATAACAGAACTTAACCAAAAAAAGTCAATACAGATGAATGTCCATTTTGTATCTGTGTATTCAAAGTGATTAGGATAGATATATAGTTACATTCTCTTAATGAATAGAGGGATTTGTTTTAATGGTGTTTGAAAATAGGATATCATGTCCGCATTTTGTACTGCAATTAACCACTAGGAAGAATGTATGCAATGTGTTAATTACTGAAACTGTCCTCCCAATTAGATTTGAAGCTATCTCATTGCTATTTGTTTCTCAATAAAATTATGAGAAAAAAATGAAGTGAAAACTTAAAAAAAATTAAAACTAAGAATGTCCCCCCACCAAAAAAAAAAAAAGAAATTGCAGGGGCTTTTGATCTCTCAAGTTGTAAATTCAGACAATGAGACTCCTGTTGAGACAAGTGAAGAAGCTTGCTCAGATAAACCCTCTACCAGCACCAGTTCCATATGTGCGCCCCAGGTTCCTGTTTCTTCACGCTGCTGTCTGATCTGTGCTGGACTCTGTTCTATACAGATTACAGAGACCCTGATACTCAGTCACACCCAGGTGTACTTCTTCCCTTCCCCAAGGCAATATATTCTCTCTGGCATGGAATCAAACTCAGGATCTTGTATTGCCAGGCAAGTGCTTGTGCCACTGATCAAGGTGCCCTCCATTTCTTTCATTTTTCTAAAAACCAATAATTGGACTTTCACCTGGGCACTGACTCTCTCTACATGTACTTTGGAAATTTCACAGGAATCTTAGCCTCTTAGCCTTGACATGGCGCTTTACACCTTTTGATTTGATTCACTCTTCCAGAGCAATAGGTAAGTTTTGAGTGACTCATTTCAATGCTACCCCACTAATGTGCTTCCAACTTATCTTTCTTATGTATGATAGGACACTTGCAATCTGTTGAATAAAAAAGATAAAACAGCAATTTATTTGAATACAATATCTTACTGATATTGTATTACAAAGAATCACAATATTTAGAAATAGAAGAGGGCTCCCAATGATCATTTTATTTAAAATCAGTGTGGAAGTTGAGTTTAATTAGTTTGAGGAGAAATATGACTTGTTTTGTTATTTTAAAACAGGTGAAAATCAAAATTGTATGTCAAACTTATCATATAGGTTATTGAAATATCCTTTAAACACTGAACATTTGTCCTCACGAGAATTTTTCATAGGAAATGTATGGATTTAGGTGTATCTGTAGAAAGAGAAGCAGAAAGTCTTGTTATTTTAACTACTGAATTCTAAGTCAGGAGAAGAAAAATTGAGCCAAGAAAACTTAATGCTTATACTATCAATTTATTAAAAGAACTGTGAACTTTTCTCTCAATGAGTGACAGAATAGTGGTGTTTAAGGGGAAGAGACTCTACCAAAGAAGAGGATTCTATTATCTTCATTTCCTTTGATGAAAAATAAGAAAGGGTGATCACAATGGAAGATGTTGTATGTTGGCAATGAAGTGACACCCACTGCAACTCCAGTAGCAGCTGCAGCTTCTGTCCCTTCTTCATTAACCTCCACAAAGGACTTGTGCACAGCCTTAGTCAACACTAAATCCCTATTTCCAGTCATCCCTGAAAAGTCAGCATCCTGTGACTTGAAGGCTTTAATCATTCCCATGTCTTGCAATATGTTTTTGAGGTCATAGGTCTCCTCTACTTTGAACCTAGGTAAGCGTAAATCCACCTTCAGCATTTCCATATTCTGGAGGCTTGTCCACTCCATTAATTTCTCACCAGTAAGCTTATCTTCAAGCTAAAAATAATGAAAAAAATGAAAATGACATCATTAATAGTCATCCTCTTCCATATTTTAACAATGAATGGAATATAAGGCCATCTTTACTCTAGCAACACATTTATTGTACAGATGATTCAGTTTATGAGACACTATTCTAGGGAGCAGAAATAATAGTCCAGAGTTCATATTTATTTGAATATATATATATATATATATATATATTAAAAAATGAGTCATGTATTATTTTTGTGCAAAATCAGCTATACATTATTAGTCTTTCTTTTTCCTTTTTTTTTTTTTTTTGCTCACGGTCTCACTGCATAGCGCACATTGGTAGTGATCCTCCTGGTTTCTGCCTCCCAAGTGCTGGGATTACAGGCGCGCGCCACCGCACCCAGACTCCATTGCCGGCTCAGCGCACCTGCAGGTGGGGCCAGCACAGCAGGCAGAGCCAGGTATTGAACCCTGGTCCCTGTGCTTACCTAAGCAAGAGCTTAACCTGCTGAGCTATACCGCTGGCCTTTACATTATTAGTCTTTATGCTAACAACCTAATATATGTCATTCAAAATACTCTTTATTTTCTGAAACTCATTCTTTAGTGCATGCTGTAGTTACATTAGCCTTAGTTTAAATTTTTTTAACCATATTTGTAAAATTTCCCACATTGCTATCATTTCTCTGGTCCAAGTATACATTTGTCTTTTAATATCATCAAATTGAAATTTAATACATCAACTCAATTATTAACTGTTCATTAGTATGTGTTAGATTCTGAAAGATATTCATTATAATAAGGTAAATCATCCTTTTTTGTTGATTTTTTCTTTATTTTGGGACATTTTGCTCTAAATGCTTTTCTGCTTCTTGGTGATTTAAAAACTATTCTCTACTTGGGCAATGAAAAGAAGAAATTTAGGTGCGCACTGTACCTTCTTTAGTCCATCTACTTCATCTGGGAGCAGCACAACCATACTCAGAGCTTTGCCTTTATAAGGGATTTCTAGGATCTTCGCCTGTACATCTTCCAAGGAGGCAAATTTTAGATAACTGCTTTGATACATCATCTTCACAGATTTGCTCATATCCTGCAATAAATGAAAAACATCAAGCAAACAGTTTCTTCAGGTACTCTTAACTAAATAAATTTTCAAAAATAAAATAGTGAAACAACATCCATGACACATTTTATTTTTTACCTTCAATGGTATAGATATCACATATATATTAACTTTCTCCACAAAACTATATGGCTTTAAGGAAATAAGATATAGTCAATACCTTGTTGACCCAAAATTTTCCTTCTTCAGTATATTTTTCTTTAAATTTCAGATCCCACTGCCCTTTGAAATAGATTGCATTCACCAGAACCATTTTAGTATCACTCTGGAGACTCCCAGGAGAAAACAGGTTCTTGATCTTGTCTGTAAGAGAAAAAAAGGTCTATGGAGAAAGATACGATTTGCTTGTTTGAAAGATACATTGTAGCTGATCATTCATTGTTCATAAAGATGCCTACTTCAGGGACCTGAAGACCTGTGCACTAAGTGGCGTCTTCTTCATGGTGCCAGCCTCCAAGGTACCTTTGACAGAGATGCCAGGTCTTGAGGTGGGAAATAGTTTCAGTTTGTTTGTCTCTGGGTGATTACACTCATTTCAAAGTGCTAAAAACCAGCTTCCATCTACTCTTTCAATGTATCTTTCTCATTCCTCCCTCTCTACTTTCTTTTCTAGGATTCCAATTTTGGGTACACCACTCAGAGGAAATAAGGCTTGATCATTCTTTAGGACTAGTAACGTGAGCAGGATAACTGGAATCTATGTGGAGTGCTGACAAAAACTGCTCCTTGGAATATCTTCTTGTTTATTCTCATGTACAACTGCCTGCCATAGTTTAGTTTGTGTATAAGGTAGGAGACAAATTAGGTAACTCTGCATAAATTTTTTTAAGCTCTTTCCATTTGTGGTGGAAAATACATTTGTGAATGTTGGGGATCGCAAATTCACAATAGCTAATTTTGTATACTTCCCTAATAGATAAATGGAGGTCTTAGATTATCAGTGTCACTCATTCACAATTTATGGAGGGACCATCCTCTCCCACCCACTCAAGATAAACCAAATCTACTAAGATTAAGAAATATTCCAAGGCATGATCATTCTTAGCATGGGTCATCTTTGCCCTGTTGATTCATCCCAAGATGGAACATTTCCTACTGAGTCATTGACCTCTGAGACTTCCCAATATCTTGAAGCTCCTGCCAGCCCGTCCTATCCATGTACATAGCCAATAAATAGTGGCTGACATGGAGTGTCTCAGTCTCCACCCATTCTGTGGCACTGACTTCCCAGCCCCCTTCCTGCATTACTAAATTTGCTTCTGCTTGTAAATTCAATCTTTGGCCATATCCCCCATACAGGTAATTGAGGATTGGGGGTAGTCCCCCAATATGATAACAGTTGGAAGAGACATGGGTAAAGATATTATCCAGGCAGTTCCAGCTTATTTGGCATGCAGTTTACAGGAGGGCTGTTTCCCAATTAGCACAATGAACCCTACTGTTCGATAGATCTTAAGATCATGCTATATTAGAATCCTATCATGTTGCCTCCAAAGGCTTATTGTATAGAAAGCTTATATCCTGATGGCCTTTGGAAAGTGGCTGGATATTGAAGGCTCTTTTTGATTAGAGGTAAATCCACTGATAAGGTCAGAGTTTAACAACATTATTAGGATGCAGTGAATACAGAATATGGACCCTAGTTGAAAGGAGTGAATCAAAGAAACATAATCTTAGGAAATATAGTGGTTCCTAACCCTTCCTCTCTGGCTCTCACCCTCTCACTGTCTCTGAATTCTCGGTTCCATGAGGCAAGTACTTATCCTCTGCTATAACATTCTGTCATGGCATTTCTGCCTCAGTGTGGATCTAATAATGGCAGAACTGGCTAAGCAAGGACTGGAAGGTTTGAGTCCATGAACCAAATAAATCTTTCCTCTTCTAAGCTGTTTAGCCAGGTATTTTTGTCACAGTCATGGAAAGTTGCCAACTAGTGCAGGTCCTTAACACAGAGCCAGGTTATGCTTACATCAAAGAAGGTGATGTAAAAATAAGACTGAGTAGGGATTTGACTCTGCATGGAAATTGTCACCCAGGGACATACACAAAACATTCTTCAGTTGATTTTCCACAAAATTGGCTTTCTGGGGTTTCCTTCCTGGCTCCCCTTGCATTGTCCATGTTTGTTTGGGCTACCCCACCATCTAGAGTGCTTCTCCATCCTCTCCCCAAATGTGTCTCAACATCCTACCTGAGCACCCCACCTCAGCACCCCACCTTCTGTGTCAGACACAAGGCTAACTCCCTGTTACTATTTTTTATAATGGGTGACCCTCTCATTATCTACCATGTGTCTGTTCTTCCACCCAGGTATTAATCTTCTTCCGACTTTCTTCTACATTACGTACAAAATCAACAGATTCCACATCAGATAGGTAGAATTTCTTAAGGCCATCCAAATATTCCTTTGAGATACAAAAGAAGAAGTGATTAATTAAAAGTGACTTTTGCATTATCAAATTTACTTACTTATATTTTCAGTAAGCTAAACCTAGACCCTGACCAAATCCATTATCTCTTGCATGTGTCTATGTGGATTCATGATAGGCAACTTTAAAGGGGGGTGCAAGCTGACACAAAAAGGCCAGTGGACACAAACCTGTAAAATGCAACAGGGGGCTGGGGAAGAGACTGAGTATGTAACTTGTAAGGCTTTTTACTCAGAAGGAGATGAATTACTTCTGAGAGTTCTTTCCAGTACATTTATATCTTACATCTTGGGAATTAAGTATCCTTTGGTACTTCCTATTTTATATTTCTCTCAAAGACTCTTCCATGTTTGGATTTTACAGTATTAACGCATTACCCATTCTTTTGTGCTTAAAATGTGCTATGACTCAGCGCCAGTTCATTATGACATCTGAGGAACAACTCTGTTGCCCCACATCCTCCTTTCTCATAAACTCACACATTACCCATCAATCATCAGAGCCTGGAACACTCCAATAATGTATTTCTGGTGTGATGGCCATGCTGCTGTCTGGGAAATGCTGTCCATGTGAGTCAGCCAGGCTCATGGGGGTGACAGAGGATGGAGATGAAGGTGGGGGTGGCCAGGTGAAATTTACCTCAAGAAAGTTGTAAGTCTTTTCTTTGTAGATCTTGTTGGCACTCTTCAGTTCATATGCATCACTGGTTTTATTCATTTCAGTCATAATCTTTTGAAACTGGTGATGAATATTGTTTCCTGACTTTTTAACCTTCAATATAAAAAAGAATGCTTTCACTCATTAAGTACTAAACTCCTCTGGAAACTATTGGATCAATCACATTTTGTTAGTACTCTCCAAGATGACTTCTTGCTTATTCCATGATGTTAGAGATATTTTATATCAGACAATCTTAATAAAATCCACCTTACATTCAATATCTACCATGAAGTTATATCAGGTATCAAATATTCTTATATGATTTCTGTTGTACTAAACTTTATTAATATTAGGTTGTCACTGATTTAAGTAGTTAAAAATGTGTTTTATGCTAAACTTTATATTGCTAAGGCAAACCCCATATTTTACTTCTAACAGCTATCAAAGATGGTTGTGTTGGGCTGGCCAGATAGCTCAATGGACTAAAGTGCCTGCTTATGGGCTGGGGAGATGGCTCAGTAGAATAAGCTCTTCCCTGGCAAGCACAAGGGTCTGAGTTCAATCCCTGGTTTTGCAAAAAAAAAAAAAAAAAAAAAAAGGACATTTATACTTTAAGGAGGCCTGCCCATTTTCTCAGTCACTTAAGTGAATGCTTCAACAAAGCAGTCAGGCTCATGATGCTGTGGTTCAAGCCCCATATCCTCAAGCCTTGGCAGACCTGCCCTGAAGGCATCCTGAGCTAGCACCTCCCTCCAAAAAAAAATTTTTCAGAGCTTTTAAAATAAATAAATAAATAAATAAATGAAAAATACAAAACGGGGGTGGGCAGTGAGATGGTTACGTTGAATAAGAGCTTCTCTGGGAAGGGCAAGGGCCTGAGTTCAATCCTTTCTTCCGAAAAAAATAAAAAAATAAATAAAAATAACAATAATAAAAAAGTGCCTGGTTAGGTAGGTGAAGGAACTGGGGTTTGATCCCCAGAGTATCTTGCTGGCCCAGCCCCCGTGGCTCGCTGAGGATGCAACTAAGACTGGGCATGGTGGCGCTTGTCCGTAAACCCAGTGCTTGGGAGGCTAAAAACAAGAGGATCACTATGGGTCCAATCTGTGTAGTGAGATCCTGTAGATCCTGTACTAAATACATTTAAAAAGGTAGCTACGTTGGAGTTTGAATATTTTATAGTTTAAAACATGAAAGCCTCATGTATCCCTTACTGTTGTCCTTTCTGTTTGCTAAGACATTTTGCTTCTGTCTGCAGCCTTTCCCTGGTGATGGTCCTTCTCTGCATGTGAGATCACTGCTTTCGTGATATCTACCTCTGGACTAAACACAAGCAATCAATATCTTATTAAATGAAAGTAGGAGGGAGCCTGGCTATAGCTCAGTTCTTTAAGTGGCTGCTTCCACAAAGCTGTGAACCTCAGGTAGCTGTAGTTCGACTCCCACAACACTCCAGCCAGACAAACCATGCTTGAGGGCATTCAGAGCAAAAAAAAACAAACAAACAAAAAAAAGAAAGTAGGAAAGCTGAGACAATTAAAAAACCTCTCCAAAGAGATTAAATTAGCAGAGCAAAGTTTTTGGCTTGTGTCTAATTGAGCCTGCATATTTTTATTTGCCCTGTGAGAGTTTTGTATTGCTGAGGCTCTCAGTGAATGTTATCTGCTGGGAAGCATTTTTCAAAATATATTTCAGCTTGTGCTTATTTCTTTTGCTTCTGAAGTTAACAATGAGTGATTTTAGTAGTATTGTCACACTTATGGTAATTGTCATTCAATATTAGCTAAAATTTGTTCTGGCTTCCTGTTTTCGCCAGCCCAAGCACTGTTTGCAAGTGCTTGCAGGAGTTGATTGAGATTCTTTTTTACCCCATTTTTCTAGGATTGAAGACACTGAGTCTCAGAGCAGTTCGTATTTTTCTGATATTCACCAGGTGTGAAGAACTGAACTGGAATTTGAATTCAACCCGTTTTGCTTCAGACTGACTTTCATTGGTATAACGTTGACCTTCACAGACTGAAAAAAACCCACAGTAACTGAAATGTGAACACACTATATTCTTATCTCATGTTTAGGATTTTCCATAAAAGTTGCCTCTTATCAGTTTATGTAAAATTTCAGGGTTAAACTACGGCCCTGTCAGAAACTATCCTGAAATCAAAATGCTCAGTACTCACATCATCAGGTTTAGTTTTTTCTGTTGACTTCTCTGTGATTTCATTGAAGTGAAGGACCTGGAAGAGACAGGCAAGGTATGAGAAAATTTTACTTAAAAGGTCTTTCCAAATCAGGGGAAAGAAAATCAGAGAAGTGTATTGTTTTGGAGCTTGCTTGTAATCTGTACTCTGAGAAGGTCAAGGCAGAAGGATCACAAGTAGAAGTTCAAACTGCACATGTTAGCAAGTTAGAGAGAGTCTGAAAGAAGAGAAGGCAAAAGAAGAAGAGCAGGAAGTAGAAGGAAGGAAAGGTAAAAGGATGAGATGCAGTACCCTGTGAGTGGATTGATCCAATGCCCATTAACAGGGGAGGGGTTGGGTAGGTGAAAAACAAAACAAATAACAATAATAAAGAAACAGATAAAATCTCCAAAGATCAAGATCTGAATGTGCTCTTTGAAAAACCACAACAAAGCAGGTTCATCTGTAGACACTGCAAAGGATGTCCACCTCTGGTGGTGTATCTCTTGCACATTAAATCCAAGCATTCCTACATCAGTTAAGCTTCTATTTCATTTCAGGAAAGCTTTAGAAGGTCAGATTCACTTTCCAAATAATAACAGGGCACCAGGAAGAACATAGCAACATAGGGGAATGTTTTATCTGTCCCATAACTCTTTGATCACACTGTAATGAGAAAACTTGCTCAGTGACCTGTTCCACCCATGAGGTCACCAGACCCACACATCTATGCTCATGTTAGCCCACAGAAAAGTCGGGACAGATGTACATATGATGGTCCTCACACTTACCTTCTCAATTTCTTGTGCAGTGCTTCCTCTGGCCCCTAAGTAGACCATTGCGAATGCTGCTGAGATGCTCAATGGGGAGAAGAAGACATTGTCTTCTGATTTTCTTAAAATTTGAAACATATCATGAGTGAATTTGATGTTTGCTTCACTGAGTGAACCCATTGTGACCTTAGTGTGACCTGGAACTCCTAGAAAGCATAAGACTTGTGTGAACATAGTTCTATTGACAATGCATCTCTCTGCAACAAAATTTCCTTGAAGAAAATGACATGTGTGAGTTCCTGGATTCTAGTAATGAAGGTCTTTGTTAGTGTTAACTTTTCAAGTCTCCCACAATGATAAATTTATAAAAACATAATTTAAGAATACTTTTGTATAAATAAGGGTAGAATATCTTTATCTTTCCCTCATCATCTGTGCTAGGGTGTGTAATGAATGCCAAGAGGAAAATCTCTGTGAATAACCTCCAGGCAGCTTTTATTAGACATTTCTTACTTTTCTGTCAAGGTTCTGTGAGTTTTTGGTACTGATATAAGTTCTTGTAGGGATTATTTACTTAGAAATAAGTTATTTAGGTAAAGTATAAAGGAGGTGTTTTAATTTTTCCTCATAATATGTACAATGCAATAAATTTTATGCCCGATATAAAATACCCCATTACTATGATTCTCAAAAGAAACTCATATCATTAAGCTACAGCAGCTGCAAGAACTTACCTGTGTTGCTTGAGGAAATGAAACCGAATGGGGAGCCTATAAATCTCTGTGTTTTAAATGGTGAGATACTCAATATATACCTCTGCTCTTCCTTCTTGTGTGTCATTTCCTTTGGTATTTCAAGTAAAACAACTTTGGATTTCTCAAGCAGCTTAACTTTCCTCATTCTCAGCATGCAAATTTATGAAAAGGGCAGGGTTCAGTATTGTTACTATGCCTACTTTTGTGTAGAAACAAACTGTAGATCAGCAATCATTCCTAATTGTCGAGTCATTTGGAGAGCACACGGTACTCTTCTAATACCACTGAGTGTATATTTGAAATTCCACCGTGTTCTTTTCTGGCTACTACACCCATCCCACTGCACATTCTCAAATGCTTAGAAAGTATCTTACTTTTTTGACGAGTTGAATTGCTTTTAAGGCACATTATTTTACTCAAAAACTATAAAGTGTTATGTCCTATGAGTCTAGGAAGGCATGTGCAAAGCAAAAGTCAATTCATTGCGGGTATTTCAGGAAGAAGTGAAGAAGCACGTGGGAGGAATGGCGGGCCTCAGAGTTGGTACACTAAGGAATCTGGAACTGAAATCTTTTTTTATGGATGGATCTGAGGGTCATTGCTTGATTATTTTTTGAACTTGTAGCTAGAAAATGAGGTTTGGTGTTCAAATAGGGGAATTGTAAGAGGAGAAGAAATCCACTTACAGAGAGGCTGATGTGGGACTGTGTAGCTACAGGGAAGAGGGTATCAAAAACTGCAGGCTGTTGACTAAGCTTCTGCTGCTTGCAACATGTGGAAGCTATTTATCTTCTTAAAGGGGCAAGCTTCCTAATCTAATGCCATCTGAGTCCCACTTCTTCCTAGACAAAGCTTACATTTGCTGTGCTTCAGTGTGGAAAGTTTTTATTCACCTTATGATGTTTCTTGTTATAATTCTATATAACCAGGAAAATAGCTAATTCTAACCCAAAAGATACATGGTGATGTGTCTCAGCAAACTCTGGAGAAAGTGTTCTATTGTTATTCTTCAATGTTCTGGTCTTGCCAGTGGTCCTCCTTGTAAATTCTCAACTCCTTGCAGCTGTCACAGATGCTTTCTGTAGCTTAAAGTCAGCAAGAAAATTATTTAATTTACATCCTTGATATACTGGAAATGAGAAGAGCTCCTGAACAGGCAGGAGCTGCTGAAAATGGGCGAGGCTCTTGCTGTTCCTGGGGAAAACCAGGGAATGGATTGAGAAATATGAGAGATGAAAACTGAGGTCAGGTTTATTTCCCATCCCTCCTCCCAATGGGAGGAAATGAACTAGTCAACCACCGTACGGGCTTTAATTTATACATTTGTCAAAATTAGCATCATGTGACACAGGGTACCTAGGGTCTGATGCCTGTGATTGTCCCAGGCAAGGTGTTTCTCTGGTCTGATGCAGCTTGACTTCCTCAGGTGCTCTTTGTGTTTGGACTTGTCTGCCTTGCCCTCATGTAAGAAAACAATTGCCAGTTTCAGCTACTCCCTATGGAGCCATTTTGAATGGTAGCTTTCTAGTCTTCCACAAGGAAATAGAACAATAATTGCTTGTCCTAGATGTTAGGATCCCACCTTTTTTTTACCTTCTTGTTTTGGTTGCCGGGCCAGGTTTCTTTTGGTCTGATTGGAGGGAGTTGTTTTTTTTTGAGTTGTCTTTTTAAAATCCTTTTTTTTTTTGGGATTTCTTCCTTGCTTTTGCTGGTTTTCCCCTTGGGCGGCTTATTTTTATTATTTTTGTTTGGTGAACCTAGAGTATATATATTTGTAGATGACACAAGTCTCAATAACTTAGATTTATTTGAGCTGGAGATAGAGCTCAGGGGTAGAATTCTCACCTGGCATGTGTTCAGCTTTGCGCTTCCATTCCAGTACCACAGAAACAAATATAAAACAAAGTTGGTATGTTTACTATCACCAATGAGAGGGTGGATGCCAGTAGTTATGCACTAGTTTACTCAGAAAATGAATTACAAAGGTAAGCTTTCAAGACAGAGCAGCTGAGAAGAGCCTCAGTGTTTATCTGCTGTCTCACACTATACCAAACAAGCTTCTGGTTTAATATGAAATATTTCTCCCTGTTTAAATGATAAATGTCTTTTTTTTTTAAAGATCTTGAAAGGTAAAACATATCCTCACAATATGTGAGGCCCTAATAAAATATTTTGCCTTACAGTTGCCCTCGGTGAGGTTACACAGACTAGGCCTGGACACGTCCTGCTAATATTCAAGACCAAGGCTAGGGGAGCATGATTTGGGATGGATACGGGATGAATTCCTCTGAGTACAGAGCCAGAGGGAAAATAAATTTGCTAAATCTTACTATTGTTTTGTGCCACTATATTGAAGTGTTTTTTATTTTTTTGCATTAAACTTTGTTTCAATGGGGTCTCAAAATTCTCTGACAGATTGTGGTCAAGTTGTTTCCATGAAAAACTAATAACTTAAAAACTGCCACACACAAAAAAAATAATGGTGTACAAGACAGTCTCCTTTCCTTCTGAAGGTTTTGTGATGCACTGTTATCATTAACCAGTCTTTTACTATTAAATTTAAATGGTAAATTGGGAGAAACAGTTCTGAGAACAGTCTTCCACCGCTGATTAAGACTGGGTTGGCAGGTGGCAGGGATAGTATTCATTGAGCCTTCTGAGCTTTCTGGGCAGACTTGGTGACCTTGCAGCTCCAACAGCCTTCTTGGCCACAGCTTTGATGACACCCACAGCAACTGTCTGCCTCATATCGTGAACAGTGAAACCACCCTGAGGTGGGTAGTCAGAGAAGCTCTTGACACACATGGGCTTGCCTGGAACTGTGTCAGCAATGGCAGCATCACCAGATTTCAAAAACTTGGGTGCATCTTCCAGCTTCTTACCAGACTGGTGATCAATCTTTTTTATTTCAGCTTAGCAAACTTGTAAGCAATGTGAGCTCTGTGACAATCCAGAACAGGGGCATAGCCAGTAACGATCTGGATGGGATGGTTCAAGATAATTACATGAGTGGTGAAACCAGCTGCTTTCTTTTGTGGGTTGTTTTTTCCATGGCCAGCAACATTGCCATGCTGGACATCTTTGACAGACATGTTCTTGATGTTGAAGCCCACACAGTCCCCAGGAAGAGCTTCCTTCACTCAGACCTTCATGGTGCATTTCAACAGACTTGACTTCAGTTGTAACATTGACTGGAGTGAAGGTGATCACCTTATCAGTTTGAGAACATAAGTCTGCACTCCACCCACAGGGACAGTATCAATATCACCAATTTTGTAGCTATCCTGGAGGGGCAGCTACAAAGGCTTGTCAGTTGGGCAAGAGGTTGGAAGGATGCAATCCAAAGCTTCAAGCTGTGTGGTCCTTATGGCATTTCCATCTTTACAAGTGACCTTCCATCCTGTGAACCAAGGAGTATTAGCACTTGGTTCCAGCATGTTGTCACCTTTCCAACCAGAATTTGGCACAAAAGTTACAGTGTCAGAATTTTAGCCAAGTTTCTTAATGTAGGTGCTGACTTCCTTAACAATTTGTTCATATCTGTTCTGGCTGTACAGTGACTCCATGGAATCCATTTGTTTACACCAGCAATTAGTTATTTCACACCAAGTGTGTAAGCCAGAAGGGCATGGTCACGGGTCTGCCTGTTCTTGGAGATACCAGCTTCGAATTCACCAACACCAGCAGCAAAATTCAGGGCAGAACTGTCAGCCTGAAGTGTCCCTGTAATCATGTTTTTGATGAAGTCTGTGTGTCCAGGTGCATCAGTGATGGTCACATAATACTTGCTGACCTCAAACTTCCACAGGGAGATGTCAGTAGCATTACCATGCTCATGCTCAGCTTTCAGCTTGTCCAAGATCCAGGCATACTTGAAAGAACTCTCCTCAGTTTTGGAAGCCTCTTTCTCATATTTTTCAATTACTCTTTGGTTGATGCCCTTCAAAGATGGTCTCCAGGCAAACTATATCAACAAGAATTCTGTTCTCAAAATGCTCTGTCTAGGAGGTACTTAAAAATTAGAAGGCCTAGGAGATACTTCAGTGGCATAAGCACTTTCTTGGAAAGCACAAGGTCCTGAGTTTGATCCTGAGAGAGAAAGAGAGAGAGAGAGAGAGAGAGAGAGAGAGAGAGAGAGAGAGAGAGATTAAAAACCTTAAGTGACAGATCAGAAAACAGTGTTTTTCTTTGTCCACTCTGTACCCTGAGGGCATCTGTGGGGGAGCATTTCACTCAATATCTGCCTGGTCTTTAGGTATGTGGGCTGCTTATTCTGCGGGCATCCACCCATTTTCTGGCAAGTGACTTGAGTTTATTGTCTTATGGCTGAATAAAATTCCATTTTATTATATATGTCACATTTCTAGATTCATTCATCTACGGAAGGAATCTAGGTAGATGGTACAGCTAGTTTTTTGAGAATTC